TGGTGTACGGTGCACATGTACATTATTACTCTGCTGAACTTGTGTGAGCTTATTTGTTGTATATTGTGTTTCAGTGCATCAATAAAAGAAATAACTGCTGTCCCCCGCCGCCACGCGGAACGGGGGACATTGTATTCAGCAGCGTCCATCCGTACGCAGGTACGTCCCGAATCTTGTTAACGCGATATCTCATGCACTGTTGTACCCACTATCTTCAAATTTGGTGACAGCCTACATTGGGGGATTACACAGACACCAGTCGAATTGGGTACAATGGAACCTCTAGTCTGTGACACAAACCCTGAAGTCATCAGACCGGTCATTAAGTACCCTCAAGGACGACCAGTAGAATTGTCTGCATTAGAACCTGTAGTCTGTGACACAAACCCTGAGGTCATCGGACCGATCATTAACTACCCTCATGGAACGACCAGTAGAATTGTCTGCATTGGAACCTGTAGACACGAACCCTGAAGTCATCGGGCCTATCATTAAGTACCCTCATGGAACGACCAGTAGAATTGTCTGCATTAGAACCTGTAGTCTGTGACACAAACCCTGAAGTCATCGGACCTGTCATTAAGTACCCTCACGGACAACCAGTAGAATTGTCTGCATTAGAACCTGTAGTCTGTGACACAAACCCTGAAGTCATCGGACCTGTCATTATTACCCTCACGGACAACCAGTAGAATTGTCTGCATTAGAACCTGTAGTCTGTGACGCAAACCATGAAGTCATCGGACCGGTCATTAACTACCCTCATGGAACGATCCAGTAGAATTGTCTGCATTAGAACCTGTAGTCTGTGACACAAACCCTGAAGTCATCGGACCGGTCATTAAAACCCTGAAGTTACCCTCATGGAACGATCCAGTAGAATTGTCTGCATTAGAACCTGTAGTCTGTGACACAAACCCTGAAGTCATCGGGCCTATCATTAAGTACCCTCACGGACAACCAGTAGAATTGTCTGCATTAGAACTTGTAGTCTGTGACACAAACCCTGAAGTCATCGGGCCTGTCATTAAGTACCCTCATGGAACGATCCAGTAGAATTGTCTGCATTAGAACCTCATCGGACCTATCATTAAGTACCCTCACGGACAACCAGTAGAATTGTCTGCATTAGAACTTGTAGTCTGTGACACAAACCCTGAAGTCATCGGGCCTGTCATTAAGTACCCTCATGGAACGATCCAGTAGAATTGTCTGCATTAGAACCTGTAGTCTGTGACACAAACCCTGAAGTCATCGGACCGGTCATTAAGTACCCTCACGGACAACCAGTAGAATTGTCTGCATTGGAACCTGTAGTCTGTGACACAAACCCTGAAGTCATCGGGCCTGTCATTAAGTACCTCATGGAACGATCCAGTAGAATTGTCTGCATTAGAACCTGTAGTCTGTGACACAAACCTTGAAGTCATCGGACCTGTCATTAAGTACCCTCATGGAACGATCCTGTAGAATTGTCTGCATTAGAACCTGTAGTCTGTGACACAAACCCTGAAGTCATCGGGCCTGTCATTAAGTACCTCATGGAACGATCCAGTAGAATTGTCTGCATTAGAACCTGTAGTCTGTGACACAAACCTTGAAGTCATCGGACCGGTCATTAAGTACCCTCATGGAACGATCCTGTAGAATTGTCTGCATTAGAACCTGTAGTCTGTGACACAAACCCTGAAGTCATCGGGCCTATCATTAAGTACCCTCATGGAACGATCCAGTAGAATTGTCTGCATTAGAACCTGTAGTCTGTGACACAAACCTTGAAGTCATCGGACCGGTCATTAAGTACCCTCATGGAACGATCCAGTAGAATTGTCTGCATTAGAACCTGTAGTCTGTGACACAAACCCTGAAGTCTTCGGACCGGTCATTAAGTACCCTCATGGAACGATCCAGTAGAATTGTCTGCATTAGAACCTGTAGTCTGTGACACAAACCCTGAAGTCATCGGGCCTATCATTAAGTACCCTCACGGACAACCAGTAGAATTGTCTGCATTAGAACCTGTAGTCTGTGACACAAACCCTGAAGTCATCGGACCGGTCATTAACTACCCTCATGGAACGATCCAGTAGAATTGTCTGCATTAGAACCTGTAGTCTGTGACACAAACCCTGAAGTCATCGGGCCTGTCATTAAGTACCTCATGGCACGATCCAGTAGAATTGTCTACATTAGAACCTGTAGTCTGTGACACAAACCTTGAAGTCATCGGACCGGTCATTAAGTACCCTCATGGAACGATCCAGTAGAATTGTCTGCATTAGAACCTGTAGTCTGTGACACAAACCCTGAAGTCATCGGACCGGTCATTAAGTACCCTCATGGAACGATCCAGTAGAATTGTCTGCATTAGAACCTGTAGTCTGTGACACAAACCCTGAAGTCATCGGGCCTATCATTAAGTACCCTCACGGACAACCAGTAGAATTGTCTGCATTAGAACCTGTAGTCTGTGACACAAACCCTGAAGTCATCGGGCCTATCATTAAGTACCCTCATGGAACGATCCAGTAGAATTGTCTGCATTAGAACCTGTAGTCTGTGACACAAACCCTGAAGTCATCGGACCGGTCATTAAGTACCCTCATGGAACGATCCAGTAGAATTGTCTGCATTAGAACCTGTAGTCTGTGACACAAACCCTGAAGTCATCGGACCGGTCATTAAGTACCCTCATGGAACGATCCAGTAGAATTGACTGCATTAGAACCTGTAGTCTGTGACACAAACCCTGAAGTCATCGGACCGGTCATTAAGTACCCTCATGGAACGATCCAGTAGAATTGTCTGCATTAGAACCTGTAGTCTGTGACACAAACCCTGAAGTCATCGGGCCTATCATTAAGTACCCAATGTCTATAAATTTGGTGACAGCCTATATTGAGGGATTACGCAGACACCAGTCGATTTGGGTGACCTTGACCTTATTTTCAAGGTCATCACGGCACTTTGACCACTTTTCAAACTCCTGTTAATGCGATATTTCTTGCACTGTTGTACCCAATGTCTTCAAATTTGGTGACATTTGGGGATTACATCTTTACTTGACCATCAGATACACTTTTACCTGTGCTGTGTCATGATACTTAGGGACCGTTCATAATTTATGGCCAGGGTGGGGTGATGATGATTTTTATGGAGAAGCATGTACAATGTGAATGGCACCCCCTAAAAGTTATGTACAAAGTAAGTGACCGCCCCCCCCCCCAGCATGTCATGTACAAAATCAATGACCCCCACCCCCTTCAAACATTTTTAAGCATAATTTTTAAATATTTACATGTACAAAATTGATGAACCCCCTACCTCCCGAGAACAAAATAGGTCAAAATCATCATCACCCTTCCTAGCCATAAATTATGAACGGTCCCTTATACACACACTGTCATTCACTTTACAACCACCAAAACAGGAGTTTTTAATTGTTTACATTTATGCTGTGAATTATTTTCATTTCTGAGCATAAATATTTGTCTAGTGGGCTTATTGTGATCCGGGATGGGGAGGAAATGTCCTGGTTGTTTACATATACATGTACACAGAGGCCAACATAACAGGATGTGATATGGGATGTAGTATGAGAGGTTAAAAGCATTTATTTATTTATTTATTTATTTATTTATTTATTTATTTATTTATTTATTTATTTATTTATTTATTTATTTATTTATTTATTTATTTATTTATTTATTTATTTATTTCTCACAAGAATGAATGAATGAATATTGCTTTACGCTGCATCAGCAATTTATGTTAAAACTTATATCTTTTCATAAAGGCCAATTTATTTTAGAAATGATAAAATCTTACGACCAGAAACTTATGTAATTAGTTGTGTTAAATAGGAAACATTCAAATATGTTTCACGTATCAATGCAGTATCCACACAATCTAAAAGTATGTGTTTCGGGTTAGAATGAACCTTCAGTAACCCATGCTTGTTGTAAGGGGCGACTAACGGGATTGGGTGGTTGACACATGTCATCGGTTCCCAATTGCGCAGGTCGATGCTCATGCTTTTGATCACTGGATTGTCGGGTCCAGACTCGATTATTTACAGACCGCCACCATATAGCTGGAATTTTGCTGAGGCCAGCGTAAAACTAAACTCACTCACTCAAGTACTTCACTTGCTGCGTCAGTGTTGAGTGAGCTGTTGTCAACCTGTCTCCTGATAATGTCGGTGTATGGAGTATGTGATGAAAAACATGTGACCATGTGACACAAAGCTCAGTGAAGAGCATCTTCTTGACAGTAAACAACCTAAATTTCCTCATTATAAATGTGTAATGATGTTGTGATATTGATATAACTTAGGGACCGTTCATAATTTATGGCCAGGGGGGTGATGATGATTTTTATGGAGAAGCATGTACAATGTGAATGGAAAAAAAAAAAAACCCACCCCAACCCCACCCCCCTTTAAAATTTATGTACACAGTAACTGACCCCCCTGCATGTCATGTACAAAGTCAATGACCCCCCTCACCCTTTCCATATTTTTAAAGCATAATTTTTAAATATTTTCATGTACAATATTGCTGATCAACTCTAGAAACATGTGTACAAAATTGATGACCTCCCCAGAACAAAATGGTTGACCCCTCCTTAAAATCACACACACACACTGATATTGTTTTGTTGGCGGGTTTATCTCGAAACCGTGGGACTATTGTCTGCGACTTCCCCTGTTTGTGATGACGAATTCCATTGGGACCGGACGTCACTGTGCATATGTAACTGGTTTCTCATTAGCAGACACCGATCACAATTTATATGTTTTTAAAAAGTTTACTAAAACATTAGCTGCGTCCCTGGGTGGGCTCGAACCACCAACCTTTCGGTTAACAGCCGAACGCGCTAACCGATTGCGCCACAGAGACCTTGCTGAAGGACGAATGAAATCCACTGACTATATAAATTACTAAAAATAGCATACATAAGGGGAGATAAATATACTTTCCGGAAATGCATATTATCAATAAACAAGATGGCGGAACATGATAAATCCCCGCTTCTAAAATTTGACCAGTTAGACGATTATGAAACACAAAGACAACAAATTCGTCACTTGTATGATAACAATGAGCGATCAAGTGGAGGTGACGCTTCCAACGACGTAATCACGATCAGTGGCAGCACATCGGCCTCTGTTCTTGTTGAACCTGATAATGTTGTAGCAATTTTTGTTGTCGCATTTGACACAAGAACAGGTGGGCAGCATTGAAATAATTTTTTTACCATGTGTATGAAGGCTCAATGAAATTTAAACTTTTATAGATACATAGAATTCATAAAATGTTTAGCTATAATAGTCATTATGATATACGCATGTCAACATGTACATACCCTGTAAGCCGATGCGTCGCCGTATTGGCCAAAATGTCACCATGTCGTAGATGTTGATACCACATTGTGCTTAGTCGCAGACATGTGGGCGTTTACCATATCTACCTATGTCAGGGTTATATAAAAATTCGTAGTACCTGACAAGGCAGTGCTTGAATTGTTATGATACAGCAGAAGTAAGGTACTCCATACCACAATGTGACGGGTAATACAATTCCCTACAATTGACACCCCTACCTGGATACAGAAACAAATTTGCTCAACTGAAGGGGATTTTTGTATATTTAGAACGATCGAAACTTTTAACTGTATCTGAAGGCTGTGATGCGGTCCTATATAGTCAAGGCATGTCATATCATGACTGTAGTCAACGGCTTTGTGGCTCTCGTCTAATTTAACCTATGAATGACAGGGTAAAAGATTCATGAAACAAATGTTCAAGCTACTTGTACTAGACACTGTCTACCCATACTGATTCATACCAAATGGAAATGGGAAATTCATACCTCATTTGAAACAATTATCCTGTATTTGTCAGAATATTTGGAGACGTTTTAATGGCAATGTATGTTTAGCACTGTTACATTTCTAAAATTTGTCCTTTTCAAATTTCAAATATTCATTCATTTACATTTCTTTTTTTTCTTTAAACATTTCTATCTTCATTTTTGGGTACATATCAAAAAACATTGTTCATTTTACTATCCAAACATTCATTCATTAGTTTCATTCATTAGTTTGTGAATGAACAATTAACTGACTGACTGAAAATCAGTGTCTGTAATTTGTCCTCAAGTGGTCTTAATTGCCTGAACTCAATCAGTGTTTGTGATTTGTGATTTACATATGTCAGATGTTTACTTGTTCTGCATATATGGTACTAACATATGCCGCAGAGGACTTGGAAAATGTACAATGTGAAAAAAACTTAACAGTCAGTAATTAGCCTCTCCAGGTGTTGTTATATGAAACAACAGTCAAACAGTCATAGTTGAAAACATGTTTTATCTGTTTTATGCACAAGAGTAGATAATTTTCTCAGGTGACTGTAATTACTTTACTTATGTTATGGATTTTGAGCCATTGATTGAAAAATCCCCAGCATCAAATATCATTTCCTACAGGTAAGAAATAAAATGAATAATGTCTAATATACTGTCTTTTTCATTGGGTCATACTGTAGGGAAGCATACAAGTCAATAATGTTTCAAATCTTTCATGTCGAACAAATTCACATTTTGTATGTATGGTCATCCAGATGGTTAGGTATAAATAGATACATGTTATCCAATATTTAGGTTTGAGTCATCCAGATGGTTAGGTATAAATAGATACATGTTATCCAATATTTAGGTTTGAGTCATCCAGATGTTAGGTATAAATGGGTACTGATTGTCCAATATTTAGGTTTGAGTCATCCAGATGTTAGATATAAATGGGTACTGATTATCCAATATTTAGGTTTGAGTCATCCAGATGTTAGGTATAAATGGGTACTGATTATCCAATATTTAGGTTTGAGTCATCCAGATGGTTAGGTATAAATGGATACATGTTATCCAATATTTAGGTTTGAGTCATCCAGATGTTAGGTATAAATGGGTACTGATTATCCAATATTTAGGTTTGAGTCATCCAGATGTTAGGTATAAATGGGTACATGTTATCCAATATTTAGGTTTGAGTCATCCAGATGTTAGGTATAAATGGCTACTGATTATCCAATATTTAGGTTTGAGTCATCCAGATGTTTGGTATAAATGGGTACATGTTATCCAATATTTAGGTTTGAGTCATCCAGATGTTAGGTATAAATGGGTACTGATTATCCAATATTTAGGTTTGAGTCATCCAGATGGTTAGGTATAAATGGATACATGTTATCCAATATTTAGGTTTCAGTCATCCAGATGGTTAGGTATAAATGGATACATGTTATCCAATATTTAGGTTTGAGTCATCCAGATGTTAGGTATAAATGGGTACAGGTTATCCAATATTTAGGTTTGAGTCATCCAGATGTTAGGTATAAATGGATACATGTTATCCAATATTTAGGTTTGAGTCACCCAGATGTTAGGTATAAATGGGTACTGATTATCCAATATTTAGGTTTGAGTCATCCAGATGTTAGGTATAAATGGAAACATGTTATCCAATATTTAGGTTTGAGTTATCCAGATGTTAGGTATAAATGGGTACTGATTATCCAATATTTAGGTTTCAGTCATCCAGATGGTTAGGTATAAATGGATACATGTTATCCAATATTTAGGTTTCAGTCATCCAGATGGTTAAGTATAAATGGATACATGTTATCCAATATTTAGGTTTGAGTCATCCAGATGTTAGGTATAAATGGATACATGTTATCCAATATTTAGGTTTGAGTCATCCAGATGGTTAGGTATAAATTGATACAGGTTACGCAATATTTAGGTTTGAGTCATCCAAATGGTTAGGTATAAATTGATACAGGTTATGCAATATTGGGGCATAAGTCTGCCCAAACAGTTTGGGTTCAGATCTCTAATTGTCCAGTTGGTACCGTCCAGTTCCCATTGGTGTACAGAATATGCATTTAACTATGTTTGTAGCGAACTAATAAATATAACAAACTGGGATTTTTTCAGCCACTTGCTGTATATTTTAGTCGAAATATTTGTAATAATCTACAGTTATAACATTAGTTGTGCCTACGTGTTTGTTATAACCATAGTTTACTGAACTGAAATGTGTACCTGTTCAGTGGTTATACCCAGCTGACTAACCCATGAACATCCGGGTTAATGTGGTCTTCAGCAACCCATGATTGTCGTAAGCACAAGCCCTTGTGTCTTTGTAAGGATTGAAGATTGATTTTTTTTTTGAGATGACCCTGACTCGAAACGTTTCACAATTAAATACATCATGATTTATTGCACTGTGAAGCATTTCGAGTCAGGGGATCCTCTCAATTTTTTATTTTCTTTTATAAATCATTGATCTTCGCAAAGACACGAGGGCCTGTGGTCGTAAGAGCCTACTGACATGATCGGGTTGTCAGGCTCTCTGACTTGGTTGATGCATGTTACCGTATCCCAGCTGAGTAGATTATTGCTTTATGATGTCAGTCACTAGATTGTCTGGTTCAGGCTTGATTATTTACAAACTGATGTCATATGTCTGGAAAATTCCAGTGCATCAGTAAACAACCAACAGACAAACAAAAATAAATGACAAGCTAAAGAAATCACATATTTTTGCTGCTCCCCTTAAATGATTCTGATAGTGCCTTTTAGTAGGCCTATAGTGGCTCCATAACAGATCCCCAATCCAAACTGAATGACAGTTCATTTCAGAGAGGGCATGCATCCCAACGTAACAATGAGTGATACATGATTCACTTCTACAGTCTGTCCTTCTCACCTTTATATACAAGTACCTATATTTTGCACATTAACATATTTGTTCTTAACGTGTTTGAAACTGGGCAGGTACTTGAGGGTAAAACTGTCATGTCAGAGTAAAGATGAGATGGCATCCATGTATATCTGTGACGTATGGTACGTTATCCTTTACAGACTAAAAGCAGACTAACAGGATTGGGTGGTCAGGCTCGCTGACTTGGTTGACACATATAATCATATCACAATTGCTTAGATCAATGCTCATGTTGTTGATCACTGGATTGTCTGGTCCAGACTCGATTGTTTATAGACTGCCGCCATATAGCTGGAATATTGCAGGGAAGTGTGTGGCATTAAACAACAAACCAACCAACCATTTACAGACTGGCAGTGTTTCCTAGCAGATGAAACTTGTGGAACTACAACCTTACCATTCATTGGATAATCTATAATTCTCATTCTAGTTTCATTATCTTATTTTGTCTATGTAAATAATTTGTCTTTTTTGTAAGTTTGGTTAATGTTCCAGTCTTGCCTTGCCTTTATATAAGTAGTGGTTCATATCTTATTCACAATCCTATATACACAACCTTTGAAACTCTGAATGGATCTACTGGAGAAAATCAAGGCCATAGAACCACAGGTGCCAGGAGACAGGTTTGAAATATAATCATTGTGAGAATCATGAATGAATGACATGTAAGTAACGTGGATTATATTGTGGTAATGTGTTATTAACATGATAAACTAATTGGACATTTCTTTTTTCATTTATATGAGGGTCACCCAGCAGAAAATGGGTACCCAGTGGGATAAAGTAATGTGACTATAACCTTCTAGTGCCTAACAGGCAGCTTGTGTTATCCAGGGTAATGATGTGATAATGTGCTTTGAGCATACCTTCATGGCATGGAGACAGCACAATATAAATGCCATAATTATTATTATTAATGGACACTGACAGAGAGTAAGAAAAAAGATGACACATGTAAAAAAATATTATCCTTTTATTTTCATGTAGGTGAATAACCAATAACTGACATTTTTCACTAAATGTTTACCATGCTAAACCTGTGCATATTACCATAAGTAAATTAAACTGTAAATTGTAATGTCAACATGGCTGGTATACATGACACACTTCAAGCCAATCGTGTATGCTTGTCAGCTGTTGTAAAGTTGAATGTTTAACAAGTCTAGTCATGACAATTGATATCAGTTACTGTACATCTGATATCAACATGGATATGCTTATTGAAATTGGCAGTGTGGAATGCAGTCATTCGACTTGTATTGACAGATCAATAGGAGCGTGTTGTCCTAGATCCGGGGGGGTGTTGTTACTTAGGAAGGGATTATTGACTGATGACAGATTGCAACCTACATGTGTCTATAGCTGTCATCACTCATCAGGGAGTTACAGGTGTTGCTAGCACAGGATGACTCATATAATCTGCTGCACTCGTCTGTATAGAATCTGTTTCACTATGTTTGTTTGTTTATTTGCTTATCAAACACACTCAGCTATATTCCAGCTGTGTGACTGTAGACGTAGTTTGGTAGTAATCAAGTCTGGCAATCCTTTGATTTACATCATACGCAATCATTCTATGTACACATGCTCCAAGCACGTCAGCGAACCTCACCTTCTGTTATTTGACAAGCATGGGTTGCTGAAGACCCAGATCTTCATGGGTCTTGTTTCTTTATGATGACAAATATTATATTACTATAGTATAAGTATTAATTTTCAAACCTATTTGATGTACATGATTTATAGACACCATTAGTTACAAACTTACATCCAACCAGTCCATTTTTTAATTTTAACAAAAACAATAAAGAAAAGCCTTTTTACATACCATATTTGCAGGTTAACATATTCAAATGACAACAGAAGCTGATTAATTGGAGAACTATAGTATGTGTTAACATCCAGTATAAAGTACTACTCTGAAGTAATGCATGTGATGAAGAGAGTTGACTTACAAACTGTGTGCCCAGTGTATGGTTGATGGAATCTTAGTGATAAATACACTGACGATCAAGGGGGCGGTGGGGCAGCCTAGTGGTTAAAGCGTTCACTCGTCATGCCGAAGACCCGGGTTCGATTCCCCACATGGGCACAATGTGTTAAGCCCATTTCTGGTGTCCCCCGCCGTGATATTGCTGGAATATTGCTAAAAGCGGCGTAAAACTAAACTCAGTCAGTCAGTATAATGTCAGATACCAAGTTTCCATGGTAACAGGTGGGTTTTCTGCTTTGTTCAGTTGTTTATTATTCAATACGTATAACTGTGGAATGGTAACAGCTGGTACATCATGGAGATTTGTCAAGATGTAAATTATTGTCATACACACTGCTTGATATTAGTTTAATCATGTTAAGAGTGAAGCCAAGTTTGAAAATGTTTTCACTATTTATTACTAACTGGTCTTACCATAGATTCAACAATCTTGACATTTCAACTAAAATTGCCAGTGTATCAGATTTGGTCAAGTTTAGATATGGACGTGTATATGGAGTTTGACATGCTGAAGGAGATCAGTCATCTGCCAAGAGAACTGGTATACACACTGCATTAACAAATATTTGCAAATTCCCAATCTCATTGTGATTACTTACATCAGTGAACAAAGCACCCAGAGCAGCCGAGTGATTTCTCTGTCTCAAAACACGAACATGGACATGATGTTTTGAGTGGAAATAATATGGTTACTTTACCATACTGTGTATGTTTAATGCCCCTATTGGCTTCTGAGCATAATGGCATCCAAGAGCAAGTAGTATTGATGGGAAGTTGGTATCTCTTCTCTTTTTCTAATCCAAATGTTTGAAAATGAGGTGGTGAAGAAATGGAGCAGAATCATTTTAGAAAACTAACATTGTACTGGCTCAAAAACATATGCATCAATTAATGTTATTTAGCCCCAAGTCTTCATTTAATGTCAGTTAATGTTCCCATATGTGATTTCCAAACTGTCCCAATCAATGTTAACATTGTCAGGTATCCAGGAAGATGATTTATGCTTAATTTTACATTGTTGCATTGAATGAAATGTATATGCATAATATATGCATAATATATTTTCATGCTTATATATTATAACAGATATACCTGATGATTAGGGACCGTTCATAATTTATTGAGGGGTGGGTGGGTGGGTTGATGATTTTGTACAGAAGCATGTACAATGTGAATGACCCCCTAAAATGTACCCCCTGCATATCATGTACAAAATCAATGATCCCTCCCCTTCCCATAATTTTTAAGCATAATTTTAAAATATTTTTATTTACAAAATTGTTGACCCCTTAATACATGTGTACAAAATTGCTGACCCCCTTCCCTCCCAGAAATAAATGGGTGACCCCCTTAAAATCATCATCTCTCACACACGCACGCACGCACGCATGCACGCACCGCACGCACACACACACACACACACACAGCCATACGGTCCCTTAACATCATCTACCGGTACTAAGAATCTGAATTTCCGTGTAAGAAAGGCTTAATGTTAATGGTTTGTGGATTACTGAGCTGTTTATGACCATGAACCATTCTTAAGTGTGTTAGCTTGTTTGTAACATGTTATTCTGTGCACAGGTAATCTTGTGGAATGGTGTTCACCAGAAGAAACTGACCTTGATGGGGTAGAGTTCAAGGCCATGGCTAGTGGTTCTCATACCCTGGACAAGGATTTTGTGTAAGTAACAAACAGCTCTCAGGCCATGTATCATGTTTCTCTAGTTGATTTTGTATACTAGGGCTGCGCAATATAACCGGTTTACTGGTATTTACCGGTTCAGACATGAAAACGATACGTATTGCCATACCCGGATTGAAAACTAGTTTTTCGACATGCATTCAGAAAACTTCGTAACACTCGGAAATCTTCGGATATTTCCGTTTTTCACACTGGAAATCAAGTTAAGTTCGGTTTGAAGTTGTGTTGTTAATTTTTGTTCAAGTATTTCGCAATGTTTTGGATCTGAATGTTATATATATATTTACTCATTATTGACCAGTGATCCCTGATATGTCCTGACCAGGTCAAGTTGCTGTCTAAAATCTCAGGGCTTTTTTGAGAGTGGAGAAACTAGTTCAAACTAGTAACCACTGTGTTGATGTTAAATTGTTCTTTTCCTTGTTTCCTTCATTTTAACATGATTAAAAGTTTTTACTAAAGCTTAATCAAGCATAGTGATTTTGTTGTGTTTTTGCTTTATAAATCAAGCATTAACTCGATTATAAGTAATTTTTTATGAAAAAAAATATTCTTGCAATATATTGTAATATGTATCGCAATATATGCTTTCGAATCGCAATATATCGCAATATGAAAATTCTCTGCAATACCCACCCCTATTGTATACACTAAGGACAAGACATATTAAAACATACACCGTGAGGTTTCACCATGGATGCATTCTCCTCATTGTTTTAAGGGATGACAACTTCCAACTTTAATATTTCAGCCTCAGTGTTATTCACATAAACCATTCAAGATGGTATATGTATTTCTCATCTACAAAATGTGCTTTATTTGACACAACACACATTCGACCTCGTGCTGGATACAGGCCATGTAAGAGGATCTGACTGATGTCAGTGTTCAGGACAACATGCGGCCTGCTTCCCACATCACCATCAAGTTCTTATACATATTGATTCCATGCATATTTGTGTTCATCTGTTTCAACATCAATAGCCAACTTGATGTTGCCCTATTTTCATACTCAAGGTCAGGGTAATAAAGACTATCATTTCGATTAGTTTCTTATAACAAATGAATTTCTGAAAATAAATGTTATTTTGATTTTATATTAACTGACAGATGGTAAGAAAGTACAGCTGGACTCAGTTTCATAGATACATGTTGTACATGTTTTACCTGCCTGAAGATGACTTGTCGTTCAAAGATATCATGACTAATAGCTGAGCTTAAACTGCTTCATAGAATAAATAGCTCCATTTGTTAAACTATTTATCGAAAGAAATAATAATGTTTCAAAGTACAGTCAAACCATGTTATCTCATATTTATATGTGTCAGATCACTTGCTTTGTCACAATCAGTTTATTGCTTCACCAGATAAAACTGATTATAAAGATTACCCTGATCATGCTGATGAGTCACTGATAAATGTGTGTATTTGTTTATTTATTTGATCATTATCATATGATGTCATGATAATCACAAGAGATGAATAAACGTCAGATTTCTATTTCTCTAAGACTTCAAGACAATAGGAATCGAAGTATACTAGCCACATAAAGAAACTGTGCATTGTCAAAATATTATCCCAGTTGATAAGTACGATAACAATGTCAAAGGTACATATAAACTTTAATGGAGGGATCATGAGACCATAACAAGTCGGGAGAATTTCAATTGAAAAGTCAATCACAATGACGTCACGAGTCCACAAGCGGGACAGGGGTCAAATGACCAAGGTAGCCTATCAAATGTGCAAGGAAGGCTTGTGGGATGTCACGCCAGATTCTCTCAAGTTCTGTTGCAAGGTCAAGGACGTTATCTGGCGGATGAGTAAGACGGCGTAGACGTCGATCCATCTCATCCCAAACATGCTCTATCGGGGAGTGATCCGGTGAATTTGCAGGCCAAGGTAGTACGTCAACGTTGTGGTGTTGCAAGAAATCCATAGCAACCCTTGCCGTATGAGGGCGGGCATTGTCCTGTTGGAATGTTAACCCAGGGCCATGACGTTGCAGAAAAGGAATTGCCACAGGTCGAAGAATCTGATCCCTGTAGCCCACACCAGTTAAGTTGCCCTGAACAATCACCAAAGGAGTTCTTTGGCGTGCTGTTATTCCACCCCAAATCATCCCGAAACCACCACCAAAGCGATTCCTCTCCAAGACACAGGCCTGTGCATAACGTTCTCCCACGCGTCTATAGGCACGTTGGCGTCCATCACTATGGGAAATGTTAAACCTGGACTCATCTGTAAAACAACATTTCTCCACCAAAACAAGGGTCTGCAGACATGATTTTGGCACCACATTCGGGCGCTTTGTCGATGACGTTGTGTCAGGAAAGGACGTATGGCGGGACGTCGTGGTCTGATCCCATGATGACGTAAACGTTGTCGAACTGTGTTGGGGTGGATACGGCGAAGTCCTGAGATGGTTTGGGCAGTCATCACTGCAGTCTGAAACCTGTGGCGAAGATGGGTCACCCTTATCCATCTGTCCTGTCTTGGCGTTGTTACACGTGGACGTCCAGAACGTGGCCGATCGATGACGTCATTTGTGTTCTGGTAGCGTCTCACCAGTGCAGAAATGGTGTTCCGGTGGCAGTGGAAATGTGCAGCCACTTGTCGTTGAGACATTCCCCCACGGACCATCCCAATGGCCTCATGACGTTGTGCAAACGTGAGCCTTGGCATGCTATGCTTTTCAATTTTTGAACGATCGCATGGGCAGGGGTTGAGCTTTCCAAAGTGACAGTATTGTGTGGCATTCATTTGCTCTGTTCTCTTTCCTGGAATGCATGTGCAACAACGTGTTGCACGTCTCAAGGATGAACCCACTGACGTCACGGGACGTGGCACGTGCATGCATGTTGGATACATGTCACTAATCTCTGAGTTTAAATCCTTATGCGTCTACACAGGTTTGATAAATTTAGATTTTAAATTTTTGTATGCACAGTTTCTTTATGTGCCTAGTATATATCTTGATTTAGATATGCATAGTGTCCAGTTTACATGTTAGGGTGTTTTAGTTTGAAATACACCACATACGTATCGAAAAAACAATCAGTGTTTTGTTTTACAGCTACTTCCGGAAGGAGAACCTGTACGGCCTGGCTTGTTTTGAAAATATGAAGGTTGAGAGTGAGATAGAGCGAGGAGCACGGATGAAGTCTGTTGGGATCCTGTCTACATCCTACACCTCCCTGTACAAACACATGCAGTTCCTGGAGACACAAGTCAGGTAACTAGGCAGATCTTGGACTCCCATGTCAGATTAATATGTGACAGTAGTTTATTATGTGAACATATTGTGTCATTCTTTGACTGTTTTAGCTTGAAAAGTCATCTCCATTGAAATCATGACCGGGGAATTGACAGTTAACAGAAATATGAACCTGATTCTTAAAGGAAAACACACTAGTTTTGCTCCACATGGTTTCTTGACTTCCTCTTAGTTGTTCTCCGCCACGACGCGGAGCGGGGGACTATGTATTCAGCAGCATCCGTACGTCGGTACATACGTAGGTCCTGATTCTTGTTGACGTGATATCCCATGCATTGGTGCACCCAATGTCTTCAAATTTGGTGACAGCTTACATTGGGGGATTACACAGACACCAGTCGATTTTGATGAACTTGCCCTTATTTTCAGGGTCACCATGACACTTTTCAAACTCTTGTTAATGCGATATTTCATGCACTGTTGTACCCAATGTCTCCAAATTTGGTGACTGACAGCATACATTGGGGTAATACGCATACATCTTTACTTGACCATCAGATACACTTTTACTTGTGCTACAATGGTTAAAGACACTGTTGCAGTACAGGTGCAACTGTTGCAGTAGTGTTATGGCAGCTTGATTACGCATTTGTTTGTATTTCTTTGTATTTCTTTGATGATGACAAAGATTGAATGTCAGCAAGTCCCAGGTTCAGCAGATTGCCAGGGAACTGTGTTATGATTAACACAGGAGGTGAATTATTGATTACCATCATGTTTTTAACTGTTTGAACTAAACAACAAACTTTGATTTCAAGCAAGATGCTCTCTGTCAACAATGGAATAGTAAATTAATGACTTACAGTACATGTTTTCATTAGTCTGTTGATAGGGTAGTGTGGCAACAATGTTAACTATCTTGACATTTTATTGATTTATTCCCATGGACAATTGTGTTTCATCTTTGATTTTATCAATCATTGATTGCATCCTCGATATTTGTTTCTTATCAAGGCTGAATGCTAGATATTGTCAGGATGAGACAGTGAAAGCTCCACCTGTTTTCAGACATCAGCTGGAGGTGCCTGGTATATACACACAGCTGATAGCCTTCTATGATGACAAGAAGGGGATGCTGCCGGTGAGCGGGTCATCGGAGATGTTGAAGATCCCCAGCCCAGCATCCACGCCTTCCACGCCCAGCAAAGAGCTCTTGCCAGAAATGAAGGTGAGGCTGAGTGAGGTAGACAGCATAATCACATCTTTTTCGTCTTTCAGGAGCCTTTTTATCATGAAATATTCACCTTGGCCCCATTTCACAAAGTGATCGTAACTCATACTTTAGTGTGGACTTACGACAGTCGTAGCGCTTTGATCGCTTTTGTGAAACGGACCCTAGGTCATGATTAATGGCATGAATTACAAGCATATTTCTTGCTTCACATAGTGATCCCTGCACTGCAACAGTCATAACGCTTATGGTTTCACAAAGAGTCGTGTTGTTATTGTTGATTTCACTTCTGGAAGCGTGAACCAAGCATTCTGCAATATCCCACATAGCGGACAGCACATGAGGTACAGGTGACCCAATGTCAAGTATTTCTATCATGATGAAGATAACTGGTTCCATTGTAGATCTTGCTGTAGTGGAGAGTTTATTAATCCACACATGAGTGAGTCATGTGGGTTTCAGTTGTAGTGAATGTAGGAGGTCTTGATGCAGGTCTTAGATATACAGAACTTGTAACTTAAAAAAATTAAATCAGGTTCTCCCTGGGATTGGAAGCCTTGTTGAAAGGTTTCGGTCACACCTATGGCCTTAGCATTGTATCATCTGTATCTGGTCATCTCTGTCAGCAGTGTTTCTCATGGCAACTTGTGCTATACTCATTTTCTTCTTCTGCAATGGGTTTTAGCTTAATGTGCTAGAGGTTATAAGAATAGACACAGTCAGTCCATGTGTGTCATTTTGGGAGTAGATAACTGAGAATGAACAGTATTTCTTCACTAAACAAGATAGATGGATCTATCAAACAGCAGTTTTGACAAGACTGACATTATTGTTTCCAGAGCAAATCTTGAAAACTGTTCAGTATTTCGTCTAGTGGTGAACTGGTGCCTTTTGATAGTTTGGGATTTTTGAAGTTACCATAACAAAAAGTTTGATATGATTTTTCATGACATATTTTCTTACCTCACACATAAATGTCGCTTTCTGATTGGCTGAGCGCTCTTCTATTATTTTCAATGTACCCCGCTTACAAGCGAGTAACATTTCAATGTACCCCGCTGTCAATGGCAACTCATTTGGTACTTCATGGTAGTAATTCTTTATCTCGAATAACACTGAATCACGCATGATGTACGGAAATTACCGATGTTTTGCAAATGCAAATTGATGGAAGGGAGATAACTCTAAATCTGTTTTTCTTGTCAGCAAAATCTAGCAATGGCTACAAAAAGATTTGTACCTGTGCTCAATCAATTCAAAATGAACATTAAGGGCTCAGGGAACATAAACAAACATCGAGGGTACATCAGCCCATGTCCCCATCGAGACCAGTGAACAACTTATATTATTATTCATATCAATGATTGTGTCCTCTTGTTAAGAGAATGCATCGGAGAATTGAAATATGTAGGTTGAAATGAGTTGCCTCCCTTGAACCAACTTTTCTCTCAGATGAGTGGTAAGGGAAGCATTACTGATTCTCCATGATTAGAGTAATCAGATACTCTCAGTCTTACACTCACTCTCCTCCCTTCCAGATCACCCACCCAGCTGGCTGTTTCTCCCAGTTCATCAAGTTCTTCGGAGAACAGATCTACACGCTGTGGAAGTTTGCCCTACTGCAGAAGCGCATCCTCTTCTTCTCTCCTCCGCCCATTGGGGTGGTGTGTTACAGAGGTGGGACATTGGAAGCAACTGAATCCATATCAGACAAACAGTAGTGTAGACCCTGAACGTGGAGCATCACCATCATCTCCTTGGTCGGACATTGATCTGACCAGCATTAGCTACAGGGAACCTTTGATGGAAACATCAGGCTGGAATATTGAAAATGAATGAATGAACAATAAACAAACAACAAGACAGAATTTTGTGTAACCCTCATCAAAGTGTTTCATTCTTTCACTGAAAACAATTTTGTTTTTTGTTTAAAGTCAGTAAGAATTAAGTGTTAATTACACAACAACTAGACCCTGATGTCTTAAGGACAAAAGGACTTCTAGAGACCTGATCTAACACAATGTGCAGTTATGATATATCATGTGATGGTTGATGGTATCCTGTGTTATATTTGAAGACTTAATTTAATAATGTCGAATTCACCAATGAAAATTTGAACTGTTTCAGTGTACTGTGCTTGTTGTCTTGGTAACCACAATATACAAGGGCTTACACGACATGACTTCCGGCCTCACTTCTATGTGAATGTAGCTGATATTGAGGCATTGGAGAATGAAGTGACATATATAGCTTGTAAGTATATATATATATATGTGTGTGTGTATATTGTGTATGTTGAAGGTAGACATGCATTATGTGGCAGTATATATGGTGTATTGAAGGTAAGGATGTATTCTGACAGAGAGTGTTTCTATAACATACTATTATCCTGTCTTTCACACTTGTGCAGGCACTACAGAGAAGATATTTGAGAGCAAGACCCATCTATATGATGTGTACATAGACAACCAGATGGTTAGGGCACACACACCTGCGCTCAAAGACCTACTTAAAATCAGCGATGCTGACAGGGAAAAATATGCCAAACTCAACAATCAAAGGTAAACAGTTGCGATACAGAAACTTGTTCTGAAACTTCAAATCAATACTCTAAGAACTGGTCAGATATTTTGACAAGTAAATAAACTCTTCATATATTTGATATCTGTAACCTCAGGTGACTTGTGAAGATCAGGGTTAGAACTGGTGTTCAGCAACCCATGCTTGTCGCAAGATGTGACTAACAGGATTGGGTGGTCAGGCTTGTGACTTGGTGGGCACATTTCATTTTATCCCATAGATAGATGCTCATGCTGTTGATCACTGGATTGTCTGGTCCAGACTCTATTATTCACAAAGAGCCACCATTTAGCTGGAATATTGCTGAGAGCGGCATTAAACAACAAACAAACAAAAGACGGACCGAGTAAAGGCAGCTCCCATGTACAAACTGAGGAAAGACCCACAATACTTGAGTGTTTGTTGAAGATGACTACACAGTTCATTATCCGTCTTGCTAACTATGTTTTCACATTCCAATTGTGGTGCCTGTAGTGTGTATGTTATGGCTCTTCTTCTGCAGATCCTCCTATGTATTCTCCCTACAAGAAGCAGGGGAGCAGGTGATTGATGAAGAGGAGTTCTTCTCAAAGTAAGGGCAGCTTGATATGATAACCTGTTGACAGAGTAGCTTGTTACTTCATATTGAATCAAGTTGAACTTGTCTCCAACTCATGGGGAGAGAGAAATAGTTTGCCATGACTGGATTAGATACACCTGATTTTACATTGATGCTGCCATAACTTGTCATCATACACCAGAAAACACATTGCTCATGTTATGCTTTCTGTCCTTCCAGTTTCACACTGTTTCATGTTCAGACTTTTAGACTCTTTGACTTCACGCTTAAGACCTGGGTTTGATTCCCCACATGGGTACAGTGTGTGAAGCCCATTATTTGTCCTTATCCTGACTCATGCTTATTGCTTGTCTTCTTCTTCTTGCGAACATAGTGGAACACGTGTATCTCCCAATTGAAGTTCCCTTCAATTAAAAAAATCACTAATTAGTGCTCACCACGAGTTACCTCCCTTCCACAAGCACGGGAACGAGGGCGCCACCTGAACCCATGTGCCTCACTCTCTCCTTCTTCGCCCAGTGAGCTGGACGTGAGAGCGCCTGTGTCTCCCAACACACTATATCCTTTATTTATATTTAGTTTAGTACCTCTTATATTCAGTTATAGAGGTGTAACTAGTATCCTTATTCAACTTGCATTGATTATTAGTCGTGTTTCTGCTGTTTTATTCACGGTTCGCCGTGTTTGTTCAGCAGTTTACGTTAATGAGAATCTGCACAGGTTGTAACCTACGTTATTCCGCTACCGATCCACATTTAAAATGCCCTAGTTGCATTACTCCATGTTCTATTGTTTCTCGTTGTAAATTAGGTATTAATTTACCAATTTCTGCCTTTGATAAATATTTATGTTCCGTTTTGAGACGGAAGGCAGATAAATCTCGCAAACAATCTTCAGTCATGGCTAATAGATCGGAAGCTATTATACCCTGTCAACTGTTGACTGACGACCCGCCACCGGCTGGTGGCCTGCCGGAGTTTCCCTCGGGAGATAAGCGTGGGACGCAGTCCGCCATGTCCAAGAAGCGACCTGCATCTCAAGACATTCCGTCTTCACAGTCTAAGACTAGGAAAGCGTCCACATCATCTCAACGTACGCTTCGAACCCCCAGGTCCAAAGCTTTGTCAAAAGGGAAATCTACGAAAGCTACAAATAATTTTGCCTCCGATATTCTACCTGTCTCAGAATTATGTTTATATGATGATGACATTCCGATTATCATTCCAGATGTACGTCATAAGAAACGTCCAGTATCTGCTACCGTCACTACAGCGCAGATCAACACGCAACCAGAGATGCCTACGCTGACGCCTGAGTTTACGATTGAGGGTCCTGTCACTTTCACAGAGAGGCCACCCTCAACGCCAGCGCAGACCGTCCCAGACGACCTGGTTAACCAAATCATGAGACTGATGGAGGACCGTTACGGTTTACAGAGGCCCCAGAACCCAACCCATAATAAGTCATACAGGGCCCCAGAGCCCGCCTTGGCTTCGCGTTGGGCCCCAGAGCCCACAACACGCCTCCGCGAAGGGCAACCCAGCCCGTAGCGATCACTTCACAAAGGAAGTCCCAGGCCGCCTCCTCGCGGGAGCTAGAGCCTATCCAGTTGCGAGGGACATCGCGGAGAAGGAGCGCTTCGCCGAGCCCACACCCTGTAGAACACTGAGGTCGTTCGCGAAGCAAGCGCTCATATGTCGATTCGGACACTGACTCGATACATTCGCGAAGGTCGCAAAGGCTAAGTGGCTCCATATCTACCTCGCCCAGAAGATTTAGAAGAGCTTCGCGAAGTCCCTAGCGTTCGCCGAGGATGTCTCCTCCAAGGTCTCCTTACACTAGCCACTCGTCAGTCCGTTCACCACAGTCCTCTCATAGATCTTCCTACAGATCTAGGACTCCGACATGTGACCCTACATCAGAGGAAGAAGGTATCATTTTCTCAGATGCTGAGATTAGATACTGGATGGTGAATGAGTTACAACTTGCTTCCCCATCGAAGAACGAGAATTCAACTCAGACTTACCTGATGAAGGATGATGATGTAGACAATATCACCTTACCTCCTATTGACCCGATTGCAGCGGTACTAGCTAATTTGGATACAGCCTGTTCCAAATCTTCGAAAGTCCAATCTACACATTTCCCGGTCTTCAATGCCAAGAAATTTGCTGGACACAATATGGACCCCTTTTTCAAGGCCCAGGATATTGATGACAACTTTAAATTAATCAGCGATGCCAAGTCCAGAAGTTACAAAGTAGACGATCGCAAATTCGCTCAATTAGATACCATCGCCAGGAGAATGTTCTTTGGATTGAATAGATCTAGAACGATTAATGAAACTCTCATCACCAAGTTCAAGAATTCTACAGAGGAGGAAGATAGAATGATCTACTCAGCTCTACTCATGCAGAAAAGAGACCACCAATTTCTTACAGAGCACCTGTCAGCGCTTACTGAAACTACTACCATGGCTCGTCGGCAAGGCTTACTAGCCTCCTGCTCTTGGGATAAGCAATTTACAGAATCTCTATACACAGCTCCATGGTCATCGCCCTTACTGTTTGGTGGCAACATAGACAAGGTCTCCAAAGAAGTATCTAGAGACTCGAGAGAGGTTCTTATGATCAGATCCATGGATACCTTAGCGAACGTCATTAAACAGTCAACACAGAGATACTCGGGCAAGTCTAAGTTTCGGGGCTACAGAAAGCACGGGACAAGAAATTAGCTGCAGCTAAAGATCCCAAGGATTCTTTTCGTCGCCCATACAACAAATTTAGGGGAGGATCAGCTAGAGGCAGATCATCCAGAGGTGCCCGTGGATTTAGATGATGAAATTCAGGTTCGGAACGACTGGAGTCTTCCACCCCCAGCCGTTCCAGTACAACCGTCTCAAGTGGGTGGACGCCTTCAGCTACACTGGGAAAACTGGGGAATACTACAAGATCCATATGTATCCAACATCCTACAGCACGGATATCTAATACAACTCAAGGCCAAGCCTCCGTTAACAGTCAACCCCCAGGGTTCAACGCTCAACCGGCACAACAACTACCTATGTTAAGAGAAACAGTACTTACTCTACTAAACAAACAGGCCTTTGAAGTTCTGGATCAACGAAACATCGTACCAGGTTTCTACTCCCCAGTTTTCCTAGTGCGAAGAAAAATTCCAAGGAGAAGTTTCGTCTCATATACAACATGAGCATCTTCAACAGAGAATATCTATTCAAACCACCAACGCTTTTGCATGATACACTTACCGCTAACTTCGCATTTAATTCGCCCCAAAGATTACATGGCCAGCATAGATTTGCAAGACGATATCTACACATTCCGATTCATCCCAACTCAAGGAAATATCTAAGATTTATCCTAGACGGAAACATTACCAATGGAAGGTTCTTCCCTTCGAATCACATCGCCCCTTGGGTATTCACAAGAGTGACCAAGCCTATTGTCTCATACCTACATCGTCAAGGTCTTCGCAGCGCTGCTTTTTACCTAGACGACGGTATACAAGTGGATCCAGATCCACAGCGTCTCAGACTACAGCTGATCTTTATAATCAAGCTACTAACACAATTAGGATGGTTAGTAAATCTACTCAAGTCGGACCTAGAACCAACGCAGGATCTGCAATTTCTAGGTATACGATTTCTAACAGCTCAGAATCGTATTGTAGTCCCGGAGGACAGATGGATCAAGATCCAACAACTTATTCCTCAAGCCCTACTCTCTCCTTTACCACTACGACAGTGGCAGAGCCAATTGGGACTACTCACATCAGCTCAAGACTTGACAGTCAGAGGCAGGCTTCAATTACGTCCGTTACAAGTCCTCATCAATGCTCATCTCGAGGACCCTCTACCATTCAGTCTACCAGATTATGTCAAACCACATCTACTCTGGTGGACCAAGAGATTGAATGTTTGCGCAGGCGTCTCCTTAGAAGAGCCGGAATCGAACACACATCTCTACGTAAACGCGTCACTACAAGGTTGGGGAGCCCACCTTGCTGGCAGGACAGCATCAGGCCTATGGAGCAATCAAGAGAGCAAATGTCACATAAATCTGCTAGAGATGCAAGCAGTCATAAACGCCATAAGTCACTGGAGCAACATACTACAGAACGCTCAGTTGATGGTTCACACAGACAATTCAACAGTGGCGTTTTATGTGAACAAACAAGGTTCAACAAGGTCACAGAACCTACTAACTCGATGTTTCAGACTGTTCGATTTAATGGACAATCTAAACATACACGTCAGAGCTTGCCACATTCCAGGAGCAAAGAATGTATTAGCAGACGCTCTCTCTCGGCCACACCAACCGTCGCCGACAGAATGGATGCTCCACACAGAGATATTCAATCAAATAATCATGGAAATAGGATCTCCACTGATAGACCTATTCGCCACTTTCGATTCAACAAGCAACTGACAACATTCGTGGTCGCCAGTGCCAGACCCACTAGCATGGGCAACGGACGCACTAAGCATATCGTGGAGAGACTCAACGCGTACGCTTTCCCGCCTCCAGCGTTGATCCCACAAGTCTTACAGAAAATCAGTCAAACGCAGAGCCTCCATCTGATTTTAGTCACGCCCTACTGGCCAGCGAGAACTTGGTTTCAAGATCTCATTCAAGTAATGGGAAAACCAATTCTTCAGCTCCCACAACGCGCCAATCTATTGATACATCCGCACACCAAACAAGTGCACGAAACACCAGAAGCATTCCAACTTCACGTATGGATTTTATCAAGGCATGTCTGAATAAGAGAGGTTATTCTGCCAGAGCGGCTAAAGCGGTCACGCTTGCACTACGTAACTCAACTGGTAACTTGTACGATGACAAATGGCACAGTTTTGTCAATTACGCTGCTAAGAAAGGATTTACAGCCAGATATGCTACACATCCTCAAGTGGCAGATTTCTTATGTTATCTACGGCAAACTAAGAATCTAAAAGGCTCAACCTTGTTCACTTATCTTGCAGCTATAAGTTCTGTCATAACTATGCGAACGGGCGTCAAGTTAACAAAAACACCAGAGTTACTTGCTTTGTTACGAGCGTTCCGATTGGAGGATCAGAAACGGAAGTTTCACGCTCCAGCCTGGGATCTAAATATAGTGCTCCAACACCTCACTAGTGAGGCTTATGAACCATTGCTATCTACATCATTTGAATCACTGACCCACAAAACCTTATTCCTGTTAGCACTAGCTACGGCCGCCAGGATGTCAGAGATTCACGCATTGGATTACGAGAGAACACGCTTTGATGATATTCATAACATCGCTCATCTGGGACTTCGCTGGGATTTTATAGCGAAAAACCAACTGCCAGGTCAACCAGACAGATTATTCCACGTCCCAGCTTTCTCATCCATACTTGGACCGCATGATACGATGGATCTATCATTATGCCCAGTGAGAGCACTGAAAATATATCTCCAACGATCCAAACAGAGCAGAGGGAAATTCAAGAGATTATTTATCCCTATATCTACAGCTACGCAGACGGAAGTCTCACGTACTACGATCTTTATCTGGATCAGAACTGTCATACTACGTGCCTACAAGGCTGCAGGACTCGACCCTCCAAGAGCTTCTAATCCTCACGAAATTAGAGCGCTAGCCTCAACTCTTGCTCTACATGGGAATTGCTCGTTGAATACCATAATGGTGGGATGTTTCTGGAGATCCGATATGGTGTTTGCCAACCACTATCTGAGAGATATCACCACCGAGGACATCTCAGGTATCCACCATTTCGGTCCCATGGTCCTTGCTCAACAGTTGACAGTTCCACGGAGAAGATAAGTCTATCTTACAGATTTTATACTTATCTGATAACAGTACAAATAGCTACATGCTATCTATATATTTTGCTTAAGTTTAATTTATTATCTTAAGCTCAGTACTATTTCTTTTTATATCATACTATATATAAGCTTACAACTCCTAGGAGTTTTGCTACTATATATATGTTCAGCTTAAGTTTCATTAATCCTTAAGCTCAGTCATATGGTCATATGCATAAATGTATTAGCTAACAAACTCTAAGGAGTTGGTTACTATTATACAGCTTAAGTTATAATTATATCTTAAGCACAGTACTATACTATTATAGCTTAAATATATGCATATCTTAAGCTTAATACTTTGGTTAATTATAAAAGTATCCACTATAAACTCACAGAAGTTTATACTATCACATTAATAGCTTCAGCTTACATTAATGTTGTATATACTTTTATCATATTCAATAAATTGTAATAACCTTTATATGGCAGCTGATAAGTTAAACAGCAGGAATTCATCAGTTCAGTGCCTTTATGAAGTTCCCATAGGGTTATTACAATCATCACAGTTCAAATCACTAATTATTTAAATCCAAAGTATATATATTCCCACCTCCTTTTCCGTCGGATTCTACAAGCAATAAGCATGAGTCAGGATAAGGAAAAATATGAAATTAATTAGAGTAAAATTAATATTTTATACTTATCCTGACTCATGAGGTAAGCCCTCCCGTCCTCCCCACTTAACACTTTGGATTTCTTCGGAAAAATAAAGTGTCGGGCTCGAAACAAAAGGAGAGAGTGAGGCACATGGGTTCAGGTGGCGCCCTCGTTCCCGCTCTTGTGGAAGGGAGGTAACTCGTAGTGAGTACTAATTAGTGATTTTTTAATTGAAGGGAACTTCAATTGGGAGATACACGTGTTCCACTATGTTCGCAAGAAGAAGAAGACAAGCAATAAGCATGAGTCAGGATAAGTATAAAATATTAATTTTACTCTAAAAATTTCATTTTGGTGTTCTCTGCCCTGGCATTGGTTGAACATTACTAAAAGCGGAGTTAAAGCTTACACACTCGACCATTTCTTAGTAATTCTAACTTTAACTGTTGAATACATCAGGGGGCGGAGGGTTAGCCTCGTTGTTAAAGCATTGGCTCGTCACACCGAAGACCCGGGTTCAATTCCCCACATCGATTCAATGTGTGAAGCCCATTTCTGGTTTTCCCCGACGTGATATTGCGGGATTGTTGCTAAAAGCGGCATAAAACCATACTGACTAATTCAATCACCCAACACATCAGGGTTACAATGGTGGCAGTAAAGGTAAACTGTATCCACTGATCCTGGTATAAGACTCAGCTGACAGTGAGGGTTGTACCTTCAAAATCAAACCAGATTTCTTCATCAAACATTGCAAATTTATTAACCTTGTGCAGCAGTATAAACCTGGAAATCTTTCACAATGATTACCGGTGACATGAAATGGCACTGTCTAGCAAAGTCTTCTTCCAGCTCTCACGATCCATTTCAAATCAGACACACTGACTGAGTCTGGCAGACTGCTGCCAGCGTTTATCCTGTGGACTCTTCAGACTTGCAGCTACTCAATATCTTCCTTGTTTCGTTTCAGTTTTTTCACAGAACTCAACGACAGGCTCTTCCAAACCCTTCTGGACATCTCATGTTCACAAGATCGCCAGTTGACCTCTGACCACATGAAAAGCATGGGCCTTGACCCTGTGGGTGACCGCACATTCCTCATGGAGCTGGTGGAGCATTATGGGATAGATGTTGTCTTAATGGTGGATAACCCATGCTGTCCCAAATAGTCGGTCTCCACAACACACTCCCCCGTGCTAGAGTTACATTTCTTTGAGCCGTGATGTAATAAGGTGCTGCCAGTTTTTGAAACAATTTTGAATATTTGATTAAGTTATTTATGCATGTTAGGGGCCTGTTGTGAACACAATATGGCCCTGTTAAGATTGTTAGGATCAAATGTGAACCTTTAAGCTGGAATCCTGTTTTCAGAGCAGTTATTTCAAGGACAACCGGAATCGGCATTATTCATGCTACAACCGAATGAAGTATTTCAGAATAGAAACAGTGTTTTAAAATGGCAGCAAGTCCTAAGTACATAGTGCTTTATGTTATAGACAAACATGTGAACTTTCAAAAACTGATACATCTGAATAGTATTGCCCTCCACAATGCAATATGGATGCCAATATTTCATTATACAAAAACATTTGTATCATTCCATTAAAATGGGTTACAAAATTGTTACATGTAACCAACCGTCCATCACAAAATGCTTTTAACTAAATTCATGAAAATGATGCATTAAAATACTTTATTCTGACTGGTTGTTTCTTGGGATGATTGCTCTGAAAGTAACAGCATGCATATCGTTCAACCATGTGTTGTGAAGAAGTCCAGGTTTATTGATGTTTCTCCAAGTTGCTACACTTGTTAATGATAGCAAATACCTTGTGCTACTTTCATTAGCTCTAAACACTGTCTCCATATGTTGTCTTGAAAAGACAGTCGGTTTGACATATCATGTATATCAGCAGAAACCCAAATAGGACTGTTGGCAATCATGTCACGGTCAAGGCAGTTGTAGCAAGTATTCGTGTCTACAATGACATACATTTGTGTTCTTGATTCATCAGTTATCAGCTGATATTATGAAGACTGTTTCATACTGGAGTTACCTCACAGGTGCTGAAAACTGCAGCAAACAATGAGCCGTAGTGTTTCTGTGGAAGCTCGGTCTTAGGGAGTAGTTGTGGCCACTTTGTGATGTAGTTTCTAGTCTTACCAATCCAAGTTGCAGTGGGGTAGCCTAGTGGTTAAAGTGTTCGCTGAAGACCTGGGTTCGATTCCCCCTATGGGTACAATGTGTGAAGCCCATTTCTGCTGTCCCGTGCTGTGATATTGGTGGAATATTGCTAATTCAGTGTATGAAATAAGGCCCATCCGACCTTAAATTTACAGCTACCCAACCCGACTGTCTGGTAAAAATTGTACATGTTTCATACATCTGAGTAAATTCACCTTATCTTCGTGTCTGGTCTGGTTAAATCCATTTTGGGCTTGTAACTTTTTGAAATCTTATCAAAATTCAGAAGGTCAGCCGAGTTCAAAAGAGTACTTTTTGAACTGTTTAGACTGTGTCAAGTCTACACAGTTAGTCCACAGTGTTGAAAGTCTGTATACTTGGCTGAAGCAATGCAGGGGTTCTTATGTCACTGTGACTGTGTCAAGTCTACACAGTGAGTCCACAGTGTTGAAAGTCGGTTTACTTGGCTGAAGCAATGCAGTGGTTCTTCTATCACCTGTACCTGAGGTAGATCTTCAAAAGGCTGGCAGGACTTAAGTATCAATTGACCTTTCATGAGATGGTCTGGTATGAGGTCAAGTGGCCATTTAGTTCATGGGTCAGGTAATATATACCTTGCCCTTGCTCGGGTAATACAAAATTTCACACTGGTTTCGTACAAGTCGTATGACACTTGCCCGTGTAATAATCTCAATATATTCAGGTCAGAGACACCCAATACCCAGAATTCTGTTTCCCAGGCTAGCTGCAGCAGTCATGGCAGCTTGTATTTTTTTCTTCCTTAGCAAGGTAGCTTATCGCCATTCTGGGGGACAGCCTTGAAGATATAATCCGTCTCATGATTTCCTAATGGAGATGTCAAGGAGGATCATATATCTGTTTAAGAGCAGAGGCAACTTCTGTAAAGACTTCTAGCTTTTAGACATGTTAGAGATAATTCAAGTATGAAATGGTTTGTTATCTTGAGAGCTGTGAGGAGGAGTCATTTAGGTAGTGATGCCTGTTTCATGTGCAATATCTGTATTTATTATGTACATATACCCTCACCTGTAGATAACATTCCACAAACTGTGACAGCGATGCATGTGCATGTCATGTCAATTTCTGTCACATGTATTTCAAAACTGAGGAACACTGATATGTTGACAAACCACTGTTGTTGCTTGCAACCATCTTCTATGCTGCTGAATCATTCTTTGTCTTGTCTAACAGTTCCTACCAGGCATGGATTAGAACTTTTTATGTAAATAAATATCATTTTACGGTTGACTCTAAGCTGACATAACACAGAAGAGAAGCTAGAGTCTGAAATGTACAATGTCAGGTGAAACTATACTCAACAGCAAAAGTAATTGTAATTATGTTCTCATTTTATCATTTGCGGAAGTTTTACATGTTTTCAATTCTTTTATGAGATTTTAAATCTACCTGTGTAAAGTTGGCTGCAGTTTTCAAGTATCAGAATATTCCTATAGCTCTTTAGGCAGACTGAAATGTCTACAGATTTGCATTACCCAAAATTGATGTACAGCTATTTAAAAGAGAAACTTGGGGCTGTGTCATCAGTAATGCGGCATGAGCATGCATGAGTGAGTGGACACTAGAGCTTTACAAATATCCTCTACCATTAAGCTTCAGCTCCCCAGGTCTGTCTTGAGAGTGGTTTGTTGTGTAAGTAAATGCTGTATTATCATAATAATGAGTAGTGTTCATATGTTCCTCTGATCAGTTACTTATGTCCAGTTGTTGTTGGTAACTGTGGCGACATGTTGTCTGTTATGACACAGCCTGTTACTTGTTGTTATCGGGGGACCAAGTTGCTGTACATATATGTTGGTAGTTCCTTCTCAAACACAATGAACATGTACTAGATATTAGCATCCATTTTAATCAGTGAACAATTCTTAGGTCTCTTAAGCATTTCGTATTTCTTGCTTATGAAACAATGCAGTCAGAATATGGCTTCTTTTTTTAAAGATTGTCAGTGATAAGCATCGTTTAAAACATTCCCTTGCTTTTTTCTTGGAAGCCTTATGAACATACCCTATAGATCTTGTATAACAAGATGTGTCTGTACTGTGACAATATGAAGATGTTTGTTTTGATGTATGAACCTATATTGTGAGTCAACATACAATATACCTCTGTTCTGCTCACAGATTCAACATGTATTTAATTGTACAGTTCACTTTTGCATCACTGATATACTTTCACAGTTTCTTGTGTGGATCTTTAACATCCCTCATCAGTCTGTACTGGATATAGCAGTGTTAGTTGACATGTCGTGTTTGATGTGTCGCCAGACAATAACATTGGGTATTCACTCTGAAATTCAGTTCCCTGCTGACTTCCTTATTTAACCGTTGTCCTTCCACAGGAAATTAGTAAGAAATTATGAGTTTTCAGACTTCAAAGTGTCAGATCATATCAATATATTCAGACCTAAATTGTCATGAAGAAATATTAACCTGGTAGGTAAATTATACTGTTCATTTGATAATATGGTACACAAAATATGAACTGACAATAGGTCCACTTAATTCCAGTTTGTGTTTTCTCTCTTAAAAATTAAATACAATGTTAGAACATGTACTGGCCAATCCTTTGACTGGTCTATGTATATACTTCATATTCATAATTTATGGTTTGTTCATTCAGAAATTTGTCCATTTGGATAGTTCCACTTTGAATGGTAATACATGTATGTAGTGTAACCAAGTTTTCTTGTAGCAGTATCTTCCTTAACAGCCTAATATGTGGTTTCAGTATTGGAATTTAGCAGTGGTACAAATTGTGTCAAATGTTTGTCGTTATCGGAGTTATACCCCTTTGATGTGGGTGTCTTACATTTGGGTCCTGAAGGTGGAGAGTGATATGACTGGAGTTCTCCCCAGTACATTACAGTGATGTTAGGCTTGTTTGTGCTGGCCAGCTCAACATGCAAGCTGTAACACTCTTCAGATACCTATCAATGGATAACATAATCTGTTAGTATTTTATTGGATGATGATGTTTGCCAAAGTGTCCAGGTAAAGAAATATGTATTATGATGAAGTTTTCAACTCAATGATACATGTTCACTCAACATGTTCAGTGACATTGAGCAGGAACACAAGAACTGAAATACATTTGTACTATTGAACTACATTGAACTATTTGGTTCCCAGAAACTAATATTTTGCTTAAATTTGATATCAAACTCGAAAAATACATCTGAGTGACATAAATCTGTCTAACTCGTTCTGTATGCTACGACCTATTCCCTTTGTGTTTCAGAAATTTAATATTTTGAGGCATTTGACATGTTTATGACTGAAATAATTGTTAAGTTTGATTCAAGTAAATTTTAAGGATTGTTAGAGTTTTAGTTTTTGTTTAGGATTGTACTTTGTGTTTTAGTTGGGGCTGTGAACATCAATGGTGTTGCATTCAGCGATGGTATTATGCTATAATCTGGTGAACCTGTTGACAGGCTCACTACTTCTCATTCATACTGTAATAAAATCTGTGTGTATTTTGTATAAATATCATTGTATATAGTAAATATTTTATTTAATGTTCTATGGAGAAGAACACATTTTCCGCATGATGAAATGCTGGCATGTGTTGCTACAATTGAGGTAATATGATCAATCATTCCCACAATACTTCAATTGAATCTTACAAAATATACAAATTATTTATTAAAATGGTAGATCAAACAATTAGTGTACAGATCAAACAGTTTACAAATACCTACTACAAATTAATCCTAGTTTCTTTTTAAGAATGGAAAATATCAGTAATCTGTCAGGGAAGTCTTTAAACTGTTGGCATGTAGACAATTTGGTAAATCAAAATGATAGTGGCATTAAATACCATACCTCTCCTTCACTCTTTCTTGTTTCTCTGTTCAACACTCAAGATATTATTCAGATACCCAGCCACCTTCACTTTCTTGTTTCTCTGTTCAACACTCCAGATATTATTCAGATACCCAGCCACCTTCACTTTGAAATGTAGATAGAATCCAAGTGCTGATTGCAATCAAAGTTGGATGTCCAATCACAACAGCTGTACATAATGAAATATACAACTGTTTGGTGAGTGACAGCTATCTACATCTGTCAATCACTGCATCATCCTATACCTCTGTCCTTATAGACCAATCAGAAAGATACTATTAGTCAAATAACTTTTCGAAAGTAGGACCTGACATGAGCAAACATTCAGAGTATGTAAGGAGTATTTCTGATCACTTGCATTTCGGTTCTTTCATTTAGCATGTTTGTAGTGAGTCAACAAAGCTAGTTATGGTAGGTTAATAGAGGTCTACTTCTTCTGTTCAATATGATAATGAAAATACACATTTTGTTACATTTGTTGCAGTGATTATTGTATACAATGCTGCTGTTGATGCACACTGTGAGGATATTCCTCTGTATGCATGTTATGTGTATGTACCTGATGGAAACTGTATGTCATGCTCCGCTCATTATGCAGACATCTTTATCAACTTGTGAGTTTTATCTCAAGAA